TGGGGGGGGGGAGAGGGAGGAGCCGTTGGGGACTACATGCCCATCGCCTCCCCGTCGCCAAAGAAATTGAGGCACCACCTCCCCGTCGCCAAAGAAACCGAGGTGGAGGCTTTGAAGCCACGTTGCCTCCTTCACGCTGTGGGAAAATGTGGGGGATGGAGGACCCCTTCTGGTGTGGCTGAGCGAGACTCCCCTGGCCCAGACAGTGGCCTGAGCGACTGGGTTCACCTCACCCCCTAAAACACTCTGGCCCTGATTCTCAGTTCCTCCAGCCCCATACGCAGGGCGGTGGTGAATGGAAGCAGGATGGCTTCAAACCCTCCCCGCTCCCAGCCCGCACCTTGACACTCCCCATATCGTGGGGCTGCACTCAGGGCCCCTGGGATGAGTTAGAGCAGCCTCAGGGCTGCTCTGGATTCACACTTAAGGCCTGGGGCAGCAGAGAATACCCAGAGTGCAGCATGCTTCAGCCACGGTCCCGATCCACCCCCTATGCAAGGGGCTGGGAGCCAGGGCCCTTATCCTAGCTCCACACCAGCCAGGGAGCCCCCTTGTGCACAGGGAGGCGGGATCTTGGGGAGCTATTTTCACCCACTTTAGGACCCTTTAGCCAGTTAGAGGGGACTGAGTGTGACTGAGAACCAGGCTCTTTACCCGGAGACCCTGAATTAGGGGTGAGGCGAGACACCCCCAGTTTCTAGAGCGTTTCCTGGGTCCCCTCCCGGAGGTACCTGTGGCAGCTGACGGTGGAAGTGGCCGAGCAGGGGGGGTGGGAAAGCACCACTGGGAGGCTCCCGTTCTTTGCTCAGTGCTGCCTGGGAAGTGCCAAGCTTCAGTAGCCCCAGGCTGGGTCCTGGGGGGATGGAGGGCAGTGGAGGCTCCTGCAGTGGGTCCCCACCAGCTCTGTGCACTGAGGCTCTCCGGCTGGACGTCGAAGGGGCGCGTGTCCCCTCTGCAGGGCTCCCTCTGCAGCTCCCTGGTGGGAGGCTCCGGAGGGCACGTGGCATCATGAGAGCAGCGGTGCAGCTCCTGGGTTTCCCAGGACCCCGGCAGGGTCCCCGCACCACGCAGCCAGGCGCAGCAGCCTCTGGTACACAGGGACTCGCGTTTCCCAGCAGCTCTGCTCCGGTTGTGCCTTAGGGGCTCAAACCGGCTTTGACAGCCACAGCTTAGCCTGCCTGGCTCCAGGTGCTGGGAGGGCAGCTCGGGAAACCCATCTCCTCTAACTACGGACCATGCATAGACAAACAATTTCCGCCATGCAGTCCCCTTGCCAGTCCCTCCCCTCTCCAGCCGGCTCTGAATTCCAGCTCCTTGGCCTGTTGTCTCCTCTAGGAACAGGGCCACTCCCGGCCAAAGCAGACATGCGATAACCACTGCCCGTCCGGGCTGGCCCACGGCTGGCTTTGAACCGGGGTCCTGGCGGTGAAAGCCTGCAGCTCCTATTCGCCATCCCCTGAGCCAGCCCGTGGAAGGGCCTGAGGGTTATTGTGGAGGGGTGAAAATTCCAGGGCGATCCTGGCTTGGGATGAGAGAAGAATCTGCTCCCCGAGCGTTTGAACAGAGTAACCCAACGGCAGTGACAGCTAGTGGTATTGTCGTTGCACCTAGGGGGTCCCCGTCATGCAAGGTGCTGTACAAACACATCACGAAGAGACAGGGTCTCCCAAGTCCCAGGTTAGCACCTGAGCCTCTGGAAGTTACCGCCCTGACCAACCCCGGATGCAATTCTCCAGCAGCAGCTCAGAGGAGAGGAAGTCCTCCAATTGCTGTAGATTTACGTCCCCTGTCTTAATCCTCCCTCTGCCAAGCTAGACAGACTGAGCTCTTTTAATCTGTCCTTGTTAGAAAGTCAGTCCCGCACACCCCCTTTGTTTGCCTGTTTTCAAATTTGTCAATGCCTGTCAGAACTCTGTATTCCCTGTGTGGACTCTCCTTACTCTTCATAGCAGGGGTGGGTTTTTCAGTGAAAGTTGTGTCGTTTGGGCCGGGGTTTGAGCTAAAGTGGAAAGAGTTACCCTCATAGCAGACTCCGGGCTTGTCTGCACTAGGAGGGGTTTGCCAATATAGCTTATACACAAATGAAATAAGCCAGACCAGGAAAAGGCCTTTTATGCTCATATAACTGCATGTCCAGTCGTGCTTATTCGGTCTTAGTTTTGACAGTTAAAAAAAAAATCACACACCGAAGCGACGTTGCTGTGCTGGTATGTGCTTGAAGGAGGATTGGGAGAAGTTAATTGACATCTTTTGTTATTTTGGTGACTAATATCAATATTTATTTTTTATTTTTATGGATTTACATTTTCTCAGTTGTGGGAAGTGACGGGGCGGCGGTCAGACAATTATTTAGTGACCGGAGACGCTGAGATTCCAAAAGTTAAAGTTTTATCGCCCTTAAAACACACATTGTCAATATCACCTGTGAAAATACAAACAGTAAATATCCTTCAATCAAACTCTATTCTGTTCACAAAACGCATTTTTCTTACTTTGTCCATTTGTCAATTTCGATGATTCTCCATAGAAATATTTTCCCCCGATTTGTGTGTCCGCTGAAATTGACGTTTACCCTTCCGAGCCTAGTTTTAAGGGTAGACGAGGCCTTACTGGGTCCCCAGGAGGGAGTGACACTGACAGAACTATCTCAGGATAGCTCATAAACCTTTCTCTAAGGTTGTGTCTGAACTACAGATGTCTGCCAGCACAGCTCTGTCGGCGATCCCTGACCCACATGCTGGCAGAAGCCCCTAGTGTGCACAAAGTTCTGCTGGCCCCATTTGTTCCTGGGATAGCTCATTATGCTCGTGGATTAAGGGGGGGGGAGGGTGATAAGCTATTCCAGCAAAAGTGCAACTTTTCTGGTAGAAGCTGTGTTCGCATTCGGAGCGCTTTGCTGGTATTCTGTAGTGGGATTCCTATACTGGTCAAGTGCTCTGTAATAGGGTGGCTTGCCCTTAGGGGAGGTGTTAGCCAGGTAAAAGTCCATGTGCAGTTCTTAAGGGGCCCACAAGGGGGTGCCAATAGGGCCGGAGTGCCCCTGCCCATGACGGGGTGCCCAGTAAATGGTGACCCTTCTACACACTGCTAGTGTAAGGTCTTTGGGGCAAGGCCTGGCCGTACGGTGCCCCCCTGATCCGCGATTGCCACTCCTAGCCACTACCGTAAGAGACCTAAGAAACCACCGAATGATAATGGACAAGGCGTAGCATTGCAGGAGTGCGCTACCCTCGTTACCAGTGTAACTACAGCTGCCCTCGGGGGTTGAACCGCTTTCAAGGTCCCCTTATGTAACCTTGTGCGTGTGGAGTAGGGACATCAGCGGGCTTCTGCTCTCGGCAGCCTGCCGGGGCTCTCTGGATCCCCTCTGTCATCTCAGGAAGCAGCCCAGGGGAGCGGTTGCTCTATGAAGATATCATCACGGGGTTCAGGGAGGAATTTGCGTTGGCTAATGCCCTACAGCTTCCCTTCACGCCCAGCATCCGGCAAGGTGTGTCTCAGCTGACGGAGGCCTGGTTTGACGGTGGGGAACCAGACGCCGACTGGTGTTGCCTGCCAGATGTTTGGCCTTCGCTGTAAAGCAGGGGTAGTCCTTTTTTATTTTTATTTTTGTCAAGGTCCAAATTTCTTGGTCAAGGTCCAGACTCCAGAGAAAATAATAATAAAAAAATACCACTCATGATAATAATAAATATAAAGATTCGGGGTCTGTTCAAAAGCGACTGCCAATCCGGATTTGGCCCGTGCTCCATCTGCTGCAAAGTAAAGCCCAAAGGGGTAAGGACCTGGCTCAGGGCGGTAATTAACGAGCAAATATATCCGCACCCCGAGGAGGAAGGCTGGGTTTCAAGTCCCCTTTAAAGGGCTTGTGGTGAATCTCGGGTCTCCAAGCAAGGGTGCGCCCATTGTACTACCAGCACCTGCACCCAAAATAAACGTACTGAGCCAGCAAAGGTCGCCAATGAACCTTGCCCGTGGTACCAGCCCATGGGGGAGGGGATGCTAGGGGTGTCAGGAGCCTATGGTGATGGGGGGGATGTGATTTCATTGGTTGTCAGTGAAGGCAGTTTGAGATGGGACTTGAAATTTAACCCATCGGAATCAGAGGGCTGGGTGTGGGTGCTGAATTCCAGGCCCTCTCCTCTTGTGCGGCCTCGCGTGGTGGAGGAGGGGTGAGTGTCGGACTGGCACGTGGACGTAGTTGCTTTTCCCCTTGTTACGAAGGGGATTTGTGTGGAAATCTTTTGACATTCCCATTTCAGAGTTTATCTGCTGCTGCTGGTCGGGCATCACTTGTGGGGGAAGGCAGCATGTCCCCTGGACTGGGAACGGCACAGGGAGACAGGATGCCTGGGGTCTAGGCCTGGCTGTGTGACCTGGGGCAAGGCACTACCCCACCCCGTGCCTCAGTGTTCCCTTCTGTAAAATGGGAACAACGATCTTGTCCTCCTTTGCAAAGGGCTTTGAGATCTGTGGCTGGAAACCAAGGAACCGGATTGATTCTTAGTTCTGTTGATCTGGCATGGCTGGGAGGCCACGGGGCTCTGATCCCATGGGGCTTGGATGGTCTAATCCTGTGGGGCAGCGGGTTGGGTGGGCTGGGGGTAATTCTGATCCCACGGGGGGGGCGGGGGGAGAGTCTGATCCAGGGGACTGGAGGTGGGGCAGGGGACCGGGGGAACGGGGCTGGCGGAGTCTGTTCCCACAGGCCAGCCCCCGTGCGTAACCCTTTTCTCCCCACCCCCTCTAGGACGACAACTGGGGCGAGACCACCACGGTGGTGACGGGCACCTCGGAGCACAGCATCTCGCACGATGACCTCACGCGCATCACCAAGGACATGGAGGACAGCGCCCGCCTGGACTGCTCCCGCCACGTGGGCGTCTCGCTGGGCGGGGCCTTGGCGCTGCTTTCCTTCCTCACCCCGCTGGCCTTCCTGCTGCTGCCCCAGCTGCTGTGGCGGGAGGAGCTGGAGCCCTGCGGCACGCCCTGCGAGGGGCTCTTCATCTCTGTGGCCTTCAAACTCCTCATCCTCCTGTTGGGCAGCTGGGCCCTCTTCTTCCGCCGCCCCAAGGCCTTCTTCCCCCGCGTCTTCGTCTTCCGGGCCCTGCTCATGGTGCTCGTCTTCCTCCTCGTCGTCTCCTACTGGCTCTTCTACGGCGTGCGCATCCTGGACTCGCGCGACCGCAACTACCAGGGCGTGGTGCAGTACGCCGTCTCCCTGGTGGACGCGCTGCTCTTTGTCCACTACCTGGCCGTGGTGCTGCTGGAGCTGCGCCAGCTCCAGCCCCAGTTCACGCTCAAGGTGGTGCGTTCCACTGACGGGGCCAGCCACTTCTACAACGTGGGCCACCTCAGGTGAGGGGCGGGGCGGCTGGGGGGGCGGGAGGGCATCGCTGGGGGAATTTGTGTGTGTGTGACTGCCCCCTGCTGGGGGAGAAGGGGAGTGTGTGTGTGTGAGAGAGAGAGACTGCCCCCTGCTGGGGGAGAAGGGGAGTGTGTGTGTGTGAGAGAGAGAGAGAGACAGAGACTGCCCCCTGCTGGGGGGAAAGAGGAGTGTGTGTGAGTGTGCACCATTTATCTCAGGGATGGGAAAATTGTAGGTGAGTGTGTTTGTGTGTCCCACCAACTGCTGCTGGGTGGTGTGTGTGTGTGTGTGCGTGTGTAAAATGTTGCTCTATGCTAGAGGGAACTAGACCTGTGTGTGTGTGTTTGCGCACACTGTTGCAATCTCGGGGAGGGGGGTGGCGGCAGTGTGTGTGTGTGTTTGTAGGCCTGTGCATGCATTTTGTATCCACACCTGCTTGGGGGAAGTGCGTGTGCGCGCCCATGAACATTCATGCGCTCCTGTCCCCTGCTGCATGGATCTTCACCTGCCGGCAACAGTGGAATTTGGTGCAGTCAAAGATATTACTCACCTACCTTGTCTCTACGGTAACAGCCTCATCCATGCCATGTCTCCTTTAGCTCCAGCTGCAGGGACCTTTCTGGGGCCTGCGCCGAATCCCCTGCCCGTGGCTTGTAGTGAGGCTTGATAGGATTAGATTTGTATTGGTAAATACCAGTAAGTGTCAATTTCACTGTCCACATGCAAACACACCTGAAAACATTTGGTCCAGGGTCACTGAAATTGACAGCCAGGCAAAATAAGAAAAATGCTGCTTGTGAACTTAGTAGAGTTGGATTTAAGGAGATTTACTTTGTCTCTTTTGACATGTCACGTTGACAGCTTGTGTTTTAACAGTTACAAAGCTTTGGCTTTTTGAACGTCCAATGTCTGCCATTAACTAATTATTTTCTGACCTGTCCGCCCCCACTGCTTCCTGCGATTGTGAAAATAGAACGCAATAAAAATCTTTACAAATGCTTAAAACCAACCATGGATATTATCCCTCGAAACGCTAAAACAATCAAAGTTGAGGTCTAGTTGTAATCACCGTACAGAGGCCAGCCGGCGGTCAGTCTGTACTGTGGTGGTTGGGATTTGCTGCTGCCACTGGACAGATCACTCCATCCCAATGGCGTGGCGTGTTTGATGCTGCGCTCTCTGCCTGCGGCGTGCGGCTCACAGATCCAACCCATCAGTCTCCCTTTTGTTCTCCCCCTTCTGTGTACGTGCGTCCCCTCCCTACCCCACACCCCCCAGCAGCGCGAGTCTAACGTGTTATTTTGTGTCCCTCCCCGTGCCCTGGCTGTGTCTCTCCCCGCAGTATCCAGCGCGTGGCAGTGTGGATCCTGGAGAATTATTACCACGATTTCCCCGTCTACAACCCCGCCCTCCTCAACCTGCCAAAATCAGTCCTGTCCAAGAAAATGTCCGGGTTCAAGGTGTACTCGCTCGGCGAGGGTGAGCTTGGGTCTCTCTCCCGTCCACCCTCCTCACTGTTTCTTCTTACTCGTTTCCCCACACTCTGTGTCCGGCCCCGGAGCCGCACCTTGCGGTAGCTCCATTGATGGTAGTGATGTTATAAGGGGGAGCGAAATCGACCGGCTTACTTCTCCCCGTGCTCCCAGCCTCGGCTCTGGTTAGCAGGAGTTGATTTTATTTGATAAAGCTCCCTTTTATTACCAGCTTTCCTCCCCTCCTTTCTCCTCTGCCTGAGCGCGGGATTATTCTCTGTCTCGCTGGGAATGGCTTCGGATTTGAATGCATTTATTCACACCAACACAGAAGTTTTATACCCTACCTTTCGCCCCCCCAGTGCAGAGGTTTTGGTAACTTATTGACCTCACGTGAACCGGTTTAAGTGCGTCTACAATAGGAGGCTCACACCTGATTAACTAGAGCCGTGTCATTAAACGGGTACAGTTTTCTGACTGTAGACAAGGCTTTGGGGCAGGAGGCCTGAGGGTGGGATTTTCAGTAGCCTGTTAATATTTGATGTGTTTGAAGGTAGTTCCACCTAGAAACCTGGGCAATGGGCACGTGTCTCTTCCCCCCCGCCCGCCATGCCATTCAGAACTAGATCTGAACAGGGGGTTGGATCCAGGGGTCTGGTGCCAGGCCAGGCTGCAGCGTTGACGAACAAAAGCTGCAGAGACTTAAAACCCAGCGGGTGTCTTCCTGTCCTCTGGCTGCAGCGTGAGTGCACAGCGGCTCGCTGTGGCCTGGTGAGCTCGTTGCACAGGTGCAAGCCAGGAGGGGCTGAGCACAAGGTGCCGGGGTGCTATAAAGTTGGGGCGCTCCCGGCTTTCGGAGACAGCCCGGGTGATGGGCGTGAGCGGGTGCTGCTTGCCAACGGCTCTAGAAATCTCAGCATGATGCTGCATGACATGCCCTCTCCCCTGCCTGCGTTAGCGGCTAGTTCCAGCGGCAGAGGCGCGAGTGTAACTTCTCCCCCTGTGTCTAACCCCCCCACTCCTTCCCCTTCCAGAAAACACGACGAACAACTCGACAGGCCAGTCTCGGGCCGTTATCGCCGCGGCCGCCCGGAGGCGCGACAACAGCCACAACGAGTACTACTACGAGGAGGCCGAGCACGAGCGCAGGGTGCGGAAGCGCCGCGCCAGGTACGGGAGTCGACGGGGGGGGGGGGGGCGGGGGGCAGTGCCCCCTAGTGGTGGAGAGGAGGCAGGGCTGGGCTGGGGTGACTGTGAAGGGGCTTCTGACCTGAGGCTGCTGAACCCAGACAAACGCTGCAGTTCCTCCGGCAGTGCGGCTCTCGGCTTGGGAGACAGAGAGACCGACTGTATTAGCATGGGCTGTACATCCTGCCTGGCCAGGGAAGCTCCCCCTAAACTTCTTTGGCCCACCGCGGGTCAAATCCCCCTAGAGTCCTCACAGGTTGGGCCGTGATTGGGGATTGAACCCAGGACTTTGGGTCTATAAGCAAGGTTACCGCTCGCTGAGGTAGAGGACAGGTTGGGCCAGCTTGGGGCAGATGCAGACTCCGGAGCCTCTGCAGGGCTTCCAAACAGAGCCAGCTGGGTCGTCACCGCTGCCTTCCTCCCGCCAGGCTGGTGGTGGCCGTGGAGGAAGCCTTCACCCACATCAAGCGGCTGCAGGAGGAGGACCAGAAGAACCCGCGGGAGATCATGGACCCGCGAGAAGCTGCCCAGGCCATCTTCGCCTCCATGGCCCGGGCCATGCAGAAGTACCTGCGCACCACCAAGCAGCAGCCCTACCACACCATGGAGAGCATCCTTCAGCACCTGCAGTTCTGCATCACCCACGACATGACTCCCAAGGTAGGTAGGCAGAGGGGGCGGTGGTGGGGGGGAAGGGGTAGGCTGGGGAGCTCGGGGGCCGATGGGGGAAGCCCCAGTTCCCGTGGGCCAGCCCGAACTCATTCCTGCTCCCTAGACCTGCAGTCCCCCCCTGGAGACTTTTCTCCAGTGAGAATTACTTCTGCAGGTTCATGGTCAGACCATGAAACCAGAATCCACGTTAAACATGGATTCTGAGCCATTGCCCAGCACCCCTTTTCTCCTCCTCCCCATCTTGGCTGGCTCGGGGGTTGAGAGTCCGTCTATCACTGAGGTAGCTGAGCTTTGGGCGAGAAGTCCAGCAGCCAAAAACGCTGGTCCCGTCTACACCTTAGGGCTGTATTTCAGAGCCTGTTGCTCCAGCATCTTCAGCGCTGATAGACACCATATGAAGTCCCAAGGCTGTATTGTGGTTCAACACAACCGCGCAGCAGCTTTGTTTCCCAGCATAGCCGTGCATCGGCCATGTAGGCCAGTCCATCCTTACTGGGTTTGTACCAGTGCATGCTGGGAAGATCTGGCCAGCTATCCCATACTACCTTAGCCTCTGGCCCCTGGGGGCAGAGAGAATCGTGGGTGTTTTTTGCACGGTGCTGTGCACCTTGGGAGAGCTGGGAATGCGGTTGAAAGGGGCCCTACCTACAGTCAGAACCCTGGATACAGTTGTGCTGGAGTTGGTGGGTTTCCATGGCGATGTTGCAAGGCCTTCTTCCGGCCTGACCCACCAGGTAGCCAATGGTGCCTCACCAAAGACCACTATCCATTGAGAAACGCCCCTCCTGTCTCTTCTCCTGTCCCCCAGGCCTTCCTCGAGAGGTACCTGAGCGCTGGGCCCACCATCCAGTACCACAAGGACCGCTGGCTGGCCAAGCAGTGGACGCTGGTCAGCGAGGAGCCGGTGACCAACGGCCTGAAGGATGGGGTAGTCTTCGTCCTCAAGCGCCAAGACTTCAGCCTGGTGGTGAGCACGAAGAAGATCCCCTTCTTCAAGCTCTCAGAGGAGTTTGTGGACCCCAAGTCACATAAGTTCGTCATGAGGCTGCAGTCGGAGACCTCGGTGTGAACTGCAAAGGGGGTTAGGTTATGGACTCATGCCTGAGGAGGAGCAAGTTGCATCCAGGACTCTCCCTTATTTGACTGGAGCTTAGAGAGACCATCATGCAGGGAGAGCCTTGTAGGAACCTCCCAGAACCAGCGTGCATGCCCTAGGGCTCCGTCTCCTCTCTCTGCCCTCTTCCATCTCTGCTTGCCCCCCATTTGGGGATCGGGGGCAGAGCCCTTTCCCCTTCCTGTCTCTGCTGTCTCCAAAACCCAGATTCTTGTAGCAATCTCCCAGGAGGTCGGAAGGCGTGTCGCGCGAAGGCTGGCGTTTTAGCAGGAAGAAGATCCCTCATTTGGTGCCAAAACTCAAGGGCTACTTTTGTTCCCTCCTTCACCAGCGTCTCCAAATGCGGCTGGGTCCGAGGAACCGTCTCAGTTTCCTTTTTTGTATTACTATCCCGATTCTGGCCTTTTTTACAACTTTCCCGGATGTTTGGAGTGTGTTTTTTAAATCCCCACCCGCGAGGGTTTTGGAGCATTTGCAAGCGTCCCTCCAGTATCGTGGCTGCTATCGAAATCTCCCTGCTCCACCTGCAGGCAGGAAAAGACGAACCAACGATGCCGACTCTGGTATCGGAACCTCCTCTTTGGCTCTTCTCTGGGGTTTTCCAGCTCAGTTTTTTAACAACGACGAGAAGACTAGTTTTAAACAGTTTTTTTAAATAGCGATTTTTTTTTCGTGTGTGCTGATCTCTGTGCTTTGTAATGGAATCCTGTGTTTTTTGTAAATAGCAACTCAAACTGGCCCAGTTCCGCTTCCTTGACTAACTGGGTCCAATTCCTCCTTTACAGCAAGGGCATCTTTACCCCCCTCCGGCAGTGTAAGGGGATGTCAAGTAGGGTTATGCTGCTGGAGTGGCATAAAGGGGCCTTTGTGTCCAGGAGAATCAGGCCCCCCGATGATAAGGTTGGTGAATGTGCTGAATTGCAGGAGTTGAGCAGAATGACTCATCCTCCTTGCGCTTTTCTCTGTCTGGAGGCTCAGCTTCGGTTTAGCTGTTGGGATTTATAGGAAAAACCGCCCTAAATCTCTCCCAGGCCCTAGTACTCCTCCCCAGCCCTAGGCAAGTAAAGCAACTGTGACTTGCTTTTGTTAAAGGTCATGACTCAGCAAGGTACGTGCCGAATGTTATCTCTCTAAGGTACTTACATGGCCCCCATCACCACGGCATTTGGGGGGCTCACAGCACCCCGTGCAGCCGGGCAGTGCTGTTGTCCCCGTTCTGCAGCTCAGTGACTTGCCCAAGGAATCTGTGGCGGAGAAGGGGCTCAAACCCAGATCTCACAGGCCCAGTGGCCTAACCACTAGCCCATCCTTCCTCTGACCCCCCAGCGGGTGTAACCTAGCATAGGGCCATTAACTAATGGCGCTTTGCTGATTTACACCCGCTGCGATTCTGGCCCGCGGATGTAAATGGAACTGTTCTTGTGCTGGAAGTCAGGCGTGTGCTTTAACGGCCTTGCTGGTTCAGGGCCTATCCTCACACGCACGTTTGGTGCGAAAACAGCCCCTCCGGCCGTGCGCCCGTATCTGCCGGCTTTACGGATGCAAACAAGTCATTGCTCCCATGAACCCTGCAGTGGCGCGCGTCGGACCGAGCTGGGTTCTGTTCTTCCTCCTGTACCGTCCACAGAGCCTGACGACAGCATCTCTGGCCTTGGTTCTCGGTGCGCCGAGCCTCGCACGGTCCCTCGCACCAGTGCACAGCCCAGTGCAAAAGGCTCCCCCTCTTGATCTGGCAGTCTTTTGCCCTCCCTTTGTACCGGTGACCCAGGGCGCTGGAGAATCGGGTTCTTTTGTCTCCACGGCTGGTGCGAGAAGGGGACAAAAATGCAGAGATTGCAGCTGGTTCCCGGGGCTGGCCGCAGCTAATGAAATCCAGCTCTTGGCTTGGTTACAAACTGAGCTGGTCGGATCTAGAGACAAAGGCCTCCAGGTCCATTTCTCTTACTCACCCTTTGTAGATTGAATTAGTTTCAACACGCCAGCTGGCCCCCTGCACAAACAGGGCTCTTGTCCCCGGAACAGGGCTAAAGCCAAGTCACTTGACTTAAAAATAATTTTTGCTTCCTCCTGGCAAACTTTGTCCCGGTCTCCCCCTTTCGTTTTGTTTCTGGAGCAGCGTTGCTGGGCATCAAGGGCCCGATCCGGCTCCTGCGGGAGTCTCCGGGGCCCAATTCCTGACCTTCCTGCCCCTTTACGCCAGCCCAAAGCGAGCACGTGAGATGCAGCCGTTCTGATCGGCTGGCATCTTGCACCCGACTTCGCACATGCCTCAGTGACCAGGGCCCAGACCCTGTCGGCTCCTACGCACACGCTGAGCTTTGTGTCCCGTTGGGCCTGCTCCTCTGCGGCGCCCGGTGCGGTCGTGAACGCGGGTCGCTAGTGCAAACCAGAATGGTCGTGCGTTCACACCTGCGTCGCACTGGTGCAGCGAAGGGCTGACCCTGTGCCTGTCGGCATCCATGGCAACGCTCCCAATGACTTCAATGGAGCAGGCCCGGACTGCACCAGACACAGGGTGGCGGAGAAGTGGGCACAAGGGGACTGCTCACATGCACAAGTGTCAGGATCCGAGCAAGGCAGGGTGCAAGGCTGCGGAGTATCAGGTCCAGCGGGAGCGCGGGGGTGTCTCTCCCAAGGCCCCAAAGATTCATTCCTTCTTCCCTCCCGTGTCCTCTGGAGCCTGGAATCAGAAACCTGCAATTCGTTACCGTGCCCCGGCCTCCCACTTTGTACCAAGTCTCCCCACTCAGCTGGTGCGTGCGTCTAGAACTCCCCACCCAGTGGATACTAGAACTGTCCGTCCGTCTTTGCCATGGGCCTGTATGAATTCTGCCTATGCCAACTTCAGTGCTGGGGAGAGGCCTGGGCTAGGCCTGCCGTCCCCAACTGCAAGTGGCAACTTTACGATGGGCCCCTCGCTTGGCGGGTTTTCGTCTGACGTTTGTTTGTTTGTTTTTTAAGTCAAACCGACACGAAATCTTTTTGGTTACAAATACCTCACGGGTTTTCTACTGGGTCCTTTCTACCGTCTGTGCCGTTGTGGTTGTGTGTGTTCGGTGTGAGGAGAACACCGGGGCTGTGTGAGGGTACTCAGAAACGGCGGGTCGCTGTCGGGGTTGGGGGGGGGGGGGGTTGTAGGGCTCGCCAATTTCGTCACTGTGATTTCAACTTAAGCACTAAAGTTATTAAAGGACTGTGACTTGTGGGGGCATGAGGGGAAATTGACACTATTTTGCTCTTGAAGTCAGATCTGTGGTTAATGTTTTTCCTTTTATTTTTAAAAGTAGGGGTTCCCCCCCTCTTCCATGCTGTTGCTCAGAGGTTTACAATTGTGGTAACTCCCTATCTTTCTAACAGCCTCTGGGATGTCAACTGCCTTTCTGAGCTCAGCTCCTCCAGGCTAGCCCCCCAGCTGGTGCCAGTTGCCGTAACATCTGTCCAGCAGTCCGCCTATCAGTCCTAGGGTGTTGTTTTGCCACCCATCACCGTAGTGTCTGGGCACCTTCCACATAAGATCAATAGCAAAGTCCCTAGTGGATTTCATGGCCCTTTTCGGGGTCAAAATTTGGCTTGGGGGTAGGTTGAGCCCAGCTGGGGATCTGGGTCTCCAAGTCTGTACAAAGATACTCTGCTCTCCTCACTCTCCTGTTCTCTCACTGTTCTTTGACTTAATTAGCACCAGGTTCACCATGCGGTCCAAGTTCACCCTATGCTGAGGTCCGTGCCCCACTAAACCCTTTAAAACAGTGTTGGTGGGACATCGCTGGTGCAACTGCTCTGTGCACGACCTGCACAGCAGGGGAACTCCATCCCCTCTCTCTCTTCCTTATTCCCAGCATCCTCTTTGCTTACCGCCCGGGTCCGATTTTGATCTTGGTTACACTGGTGTAAATCTGGAGTCACTCTGGATTTGCACAAGTGCAGCTGAGACCAGTCTGACTGTCTTTAGTCTTCCAGGGCTTTTAACCCTTTGTTTCTATCTCCCATTCCACCTTGCTTTGGATCTCTGAACCTTGGCCTTTCCATCACCACACCAAGCTGCCAGCTTCCCCATCCCTCCCTCCTGGGTCATCCCCCAAGATGAGATCCCCCTCCCTTTGCCTGGCTCCATTAGTGTCTTGCCTCATGTCCTCTCGACTTCATTTGCTTCCATCCTTCGGGCCAGATTCCGATCCCAGTAACACTCAAGTGGAGTCCCATGAGGAGGGTCCCTGGAGAGACTCTGGCTTGACACCAGTTTCACTGAAATCAGAAACCGGCCTCCAGCTTCACCTCCAGAGTCCAATATCCGTGTCACAGCACAGAGGGCAGTGAAGTGACTCTGGTTTTACGCTTGTTTAACCACGATCAGAATCTAGGGCCTGATTCCTCATTGCCCTGCATCTAGCTTTACACCAATGCATAGCAGGTGTCCGCGACGAGACCAAGCGCAGGCCCACCGAGAATCAGTGCCCATCGCTCCAATCTCTCAGATCCCTTAACATCCTCCACCTTCCCCTAGAAACCAAAGCCCTTCGCTGAAAACCCTCAGCTTCAGTATTCCAAGGACAAGAGGAACCAGCTAAAACATCTGGATCATTGAAGATGCTTCATGCAAACATCTGCTTCCATTACTGCTGCCTTCCACCATCAGGGTGATTACTTTACTTTCACCATTTCTTCTCCTCCAGATGATCTGTTAATGTCTCCTTTCCTGATCCTCCAGGGGGATCTTTCGCCGACACTACTTTACGGATCAGTCACCGTCGCTGTGATCATCTTGTCATGTTTCCATGTGCACATTTACAGGGGTAGATTTTTTTTTTTAAGTTCCCCCCCAAAAATAAAATAAATACAGACTCTTCAGTGGAGTGAGATTGTAAATGTAGAGGTTTTAGGGGGGTTGTTTTTCCACTCTGAGTTTAGGGGGGAAAAGGTTTTGGGGGTTTTTTGTTTTGTTTTGTTTTTTACAGAGCTGATACCTTGTGCATGCGTGTAGAAAATTGTAAAATGTAAAATTGTTTTTTAATATATAAAAAGTTTGTTTTTACAGTTTGCAGTGAATCTAAGCATTATGGCCATGTTAGGAACTTCGGGTTTTTTTTTCATAAATATAGGAACTAAAACTGTACAAATTTTTTTTTATATAAAATAAACACATTTGACATTTTCCTTTTCCTTCTTTTGCCTGTGACTTTGTTACTAAATTGAGACATAGAGATTTCTCTACGCTGGTGTTTTCAGTCTGTACCATACCAGTGCCAATATGGGAAGGGTGGCATGGTCCAGCCAGGCAGCATGACCTAATGGTTAGAGCACTAGACCGGAACTCTCTTTCCAGCTTTGATGCTGGATAACCTTGGGCCAGTCAGTTCCCCTCTCCGTGCCTCAGTTTCCCCATCTGTAAAACAGGGCTGATAATGCCAATAGAAGAAAATTCTGGCAGGGCTATTAAACCGCATGCTTCAGGGCATAAGCTAGTCTAACTATTTAGCAGTCAGGAGGGAACCTATCATGGGGGGCAGAGTACCTCACCTCTGCCTAGAGTGACATTTCTTCCACCTTCCTCTGAAGCAGCTGGTGCTGGACCACTGTCCAAGATGGCATACTGGGATAGATGGACCATGATGGGTCTGATTCAGTCCGGCAGTTCCTAGGTCCTAAGCAAGAGAGCTCCTCCCCTCTCTTCCTATGGGAGCCATTTCCCAGGTAAAGATCTCATTGTCCGCATAAACGCTGGTGGTATCAGCTCTGTGGGATGTAAGCTCTGATTCTCAGCTGCTGTGTACTCTGCGGTGCTGCAGATGTTGCCATTGGGCTGGTCTGGACACAGGCAGCGGCGAGGGTAACAGTGTTTCCCCCAGTATTCTTGGTTCCTGTACATTACGCCTGTTTGTTTTTACAACCACCAGCTGTGGGTTTGGGTGTGTGCGTAGTGCGGGAGGAGGTGGGGTGATGGAGGGAAGTTGCTTTTTCCTCTAAGCTCACTCTGTGATCACGGACTATGCACGCTTTTTCCAGCGAGTGCAAAGAATCTCAGAACAGACTGCTGGGGGTGGGGGGAGATGGATCATGTGACCACCACAGAGCGTTTCTTCAAACACTGAACAAGAAACTTTATCCCAGTAAGGGAAAATGCATTCTCCTTCTGGCTGCACTGTGGAGTTTCTGCCCCATAACCTTCCCCGCTCTTGCCAGACTTCCTGTTACAATTTTAAAGAAACAGGACACGATCACAGAAGGCCAGTTTCTCATTTACAAGACCTTGGCTACACACACAAGTAAACTGCTTTAACTACACTGGTATAATGAAAACTGTACAAGCCGTAGTGTGGATGCAGTTACATCCGTCTAGCTTATTGCCATAAATGTACCAGGCCTGGCCTTCACTGAGGTGTTAGCTACAGGGGAGTGGTGCTTAAACTCTACCGGGTACAGCAGGGGGTGGGTTGGAGCTCAAATGCTGCCTAGTTTGTAGACACTGCTGCTACTGCCCGTGCTCTGTGCAGCGTGAGTGGTGGTTGTGCCACGGGTCTCACTCAAACTAGGCTAACTGCAGGGGCGTTAACGGTGCCATGAAGACAAGCTAAGTGTCGGGTGGGTGGGGGTAGTGTAATTGAGAATCAGGTCGTTTGGGGTGTAGTTAGTTTCACTGGTTCCCTGGTATAGCCACAAAGACCCAGATCCTAAAATAAGAACATGCGATCGGCCGAACTCGGTCAGACCAATGGTCCATCTAGCCCAGGGTCCTGTCTCTGACCGTGCCCAGTGCCAGGTGCTTCAGAGGGAATGAGCAGAACAGGGCGATGATCCAGCCCCTGTCGTCCAGTCCCAGCATCTGGCTGTCAGAGGTTTAGGCACAATGGGAGTTAGGACTCAAGGAGCTCACACCCTTGCCCCAGTTCGGAGCCTCAGTGACTTGGCTCAGTCTCCTGGCCCAGAGCGGTCCACCTACACAGAGCGGCTCCCCTAGTCAGTTTCCCTTGGTGTGTGAACCAACCTACCCAGAGCGGGGAAAGAACCGCTTGAAAAATAGGAAAATGTGATTGTAGAAAACACGCCAGTTAGCCAGGGCGGGGGTAGCTCGAGCTACTTTTAATCGGTTTCTGCCTGGACTGGATTCCAAGCCGCTGTTTTCCCTCCAGATTTGTCCCCTAACTTAAAGGTTCCACTCCCTCTGTGACCAACGGGAATGTTGTCGTGACAAGGGAAGACAAGAAGATATTTAACTAAAAGGGAAAACTAGGAAGGTGTTGGGGGGGGGGGAAGTGAAAAGATGACGAGGGAGGGGTTTGGAGTCTTCTGGACGCCTCCCTGAGCACTGCGTGGCACTGGAAACATCCTGTATTTTCTCCCTTTTCCCCCAGTGCTGGCTCATTCCAGGAGAAGAGCTGGATCTCAGACGCCCTCCCCACCCAGGCGGCCTGTGCCGATGGCCAGTGTCCCCCTTGGTGGATCATTCTGAGCAATGTTAGTCTGTGACACGCCTCGAGCTGCACGGCTGAAGCCCTTGCCCATCGTTGCTCCACTCCCCTGGGGCCTTTATGAGTAAAGCCAGTTAATTCGCTAATTAAGCTCCATTAAGGCAGACGCAGAGGATATGTTCGAGATGAGACCATGGGGCAGAAATCTAATTGATGGAGAGCTTGCATCACGGAGCATGTTTTTCCCTCTCTGGTGGAGTCTCCCCCGTCGTTCTGCATTATTTTTTTCCATTGCACCTTTGTTGTTTGTTCCCTGGGAACTTTGCCACCTACTCTCGGACCTGGTGTCATTCTTCAAGGGCGACTCTGACTGCGAGGCTCCTAGGCGGACAAAGCACTTAACTGGGCCTTGGCAGACCTGAGGTCCAGTCCCAGCTCTGCCTGAGACACACTGTGTATCGTTAGGCAAGTCGTTTCCTCTCTGCGTGCTTCTGTTTCCCCAGCTTGGAGCTCTCCAGCGGAGTAACGGGGATTTCCACCAGCTGGGGATCTGGCCCTAGGACTGTTGATTACAGAGCAGTTGAATGGGGAAGGGGACTGGAGTCAAGAGGGAAACTAGAGGCCAGAAGGGTCAGTGTAATTGGAAGAAAGGAGAGATGACAGTGAACATGTGATGACAGGAATCTGCCCCAAGAGGGGGCTCCAACCAAAAAAAGAAAGCACATGGTCTCTGCACCCCATACTGGAGCCAGCCGTTAGGGG